AAGCACGGTGGTGGCAGCGTCATGATGAAGCACGGTGGTGGCAGCATCATGATGAAGCACGGTGGTGGCAGCATCATGATGAAGCACGGTGGTGGCAGCGTCATGATGTGAACCTGATGCAGTCTGCAGGAGAACTGAGACGTGGAGAAGACTTGTTTTCCATCCAGACGATGAGCCGAAGCAAACAGCCAAAGCTCCACAGAAATGGTTTAAAGACAACAAGGTGAAGTTCTGGAGGTCCAGTCAGAGTCCAGACCTGAACAGTTCTGTTCCCTCAGGGTCCCTGTGGAACCTGACAGAGTCTGAACAGCTTCATCAGGAGAACGAGGTGAAGCTGCAGCGTCCAGATGTTCAGGCTGATCCATATGCAGTCACTTATTTTACATTTTATATTTTTAATTAATTGTAGAAATCTGTTTCAACTTTGACATAAAAGAGTCTTTTTTCATGAACTCTTGTCAAAAAAGCCAAATTAAATTGAGCGTGTCTCAGCGTGGAGCAGCGATAAAAGAGCCTTTTATAGGTTCTGTATATGAGGAGATGTGGTCCACGGACTCAGCTCCATCATCTGCACGTGTTTTTGTTCATATTGCATTTTTAGATTTAGCTGTTTCCATTAAAGTTTGCGATTTCACAACCACAGCTGGGTAAACGTCCCGCAGCCGTCCATAAAACACGTCCAGAGCTGTGGACATAACACATTTACACATGAACTCCCTCCAGCAGCATTAAACCAACAAACCCTGTGATGTTTTATGTCATGACGTGGTGGATTCCAGCCAGAAATCACTGGAGATGTACGAGGATCTCACCTCTGCCGCATTAATCTTGACTTTCTCTCTGTGTCTCAGGCGTTTGGCGGGAAACGATCTGTCCTTCATCCCCAGAGGAGCGTTCGCCGGCCTCTACAACCTCAAAGTGCTGTAAGTTGTTCTTCTACACCTGCGAGGACGTTCGCTGATGGAACACCTCAGCAGGCGTTTTACGACCGAAGCGTCCAAACAGAAGTCGTGCCGACGTTACGTCTGGACGTCCTGGGCGTTGAGAGATCTTGTTCCCGTCATTAACGTCCTCCTCCGCCGTGTTCTGCAGCTTTTTGCTTCACATACGTGTCGACGAGCAGCTGAATATACGAGCTGTCTTAAAGCGGTCCTGGTCTGACCCGACATCTGCAGGATTATTAAACCATTATCGTAGAAAAAACAAACCTCAGGCGGTTTGAGGAATCTGAGTTGAAGAGTTCTTGGTACCTGAAACCAGGTTTTTGTAGAAATGAGGAATATTCAGAGTGATGGAGCCACAAAAAGAGACGTAAACATCACTGTTGTTTGTTTGTTTGTTTGTTTGTTGACAGGATGCTTCAGAACAACCAGCTGAGGTCCGTTCCTGCCGAGGCCTTCAACAACCTGCACAACCTGCAGTCACTGTGAGACACGTTTCCTTTGATTTATGGACGTTTACCCCTTTTGCACATCTGGTTTTAATATTCTGGTTTTATTGTTTTAATGCGTACACATGCTCTGACCTCTACCGACCACAGCTCAGTGAGTTTATTATCTACAGTTGTGTTGTCTCCGTTTACTGTTAAGTTCATACACAGATGATGCACCTATTAGCTTAGCTTAAACCTAACGTTATGCTCACCTTCTGCTAACTTTAACCTGACTTCATGCTAACCTTAACCTGAACCTAACCTTCTGCTAACCTTAAGTGTAATGCTATGCTGACCTTAAGCTAACCTTAGACTAACCTTATCTTAATCCTGTGCTAACCGTAAAACAAACTTTATGCTAAGCTAAACCTAGCCTTATGCAAACTTTAATCTAACCCTATTTTACCCTTAACATAACCTTAATACTGACCTTAACTAAAACTTAATCTTATGCTATGCTAGCCCTATGTGACACCAAATGGAAGCTCATGCTAACCTTAACTTAAATCTATTCTCATGCTACTTTTAGTTTAATCTTGTCCAACCCTAACCTAAAATACAGTTTGTACCTTAATCCTGGTTAACCTTAACCTAACCTCATGCTAACCTAATTTAAACCTAGCCTTGTTCTTATTTAATCTAAACCTAACTAAATGCTATACTTAACCTAAGCTAAACCTTATTATAAATTTATCCTAACACGTTTAATGTCATGTTATGTTAACATTAACCTAACCTTATGCTAACCCTAACTCAAATGTAACCTCATGCTAACCTTAACCTATCCTTATGTAAACCCCAACTTAAGTGTAACCTCATGCTAAATTTAACTTCACACGATACTGAGTTGAACAAATGCTAACCTAATTCAACCCGGAATGTGGCCTCGTGCTAACCTTAAACAACTACATGCTAATTTGAACAAAACAATATGCTAACTTAAGCTTAAACCCAATCTTAAGGCAATGTTGTCCTGTCCTTATGCTAACCTTAGGTGTCATGCTACGCTAGCCTAAAGCTAACCCTAACCTATCCTTATTCTAATCCCATGCTAATGGTAAAACTAACTTTATGCTAAGCTAAACCTAGCCTTATGCAAACTTTAACCCTATTTTCACCGTAACATCACCTTAATACTGACCTTAAAAAAACTTGATCTTGACATTGAACATGTTTAATGTCACGTTATGCTAACCTTAACCTATCCTTACTTTAACCCCAACTTAAGCGCAACCTCATGCTAACTTGAACCTATGCTTGCGTAAACCCCAACTTAAGCGTAACCTCATGCTAAATATACCTTCACACTATACTAAGTTTAAAAAAGCTAACCTAATGCATCCCAGAATGTGACCTCATGCTAACCTTAACTACATGCTAACTTGAAGTGAACAATATGCTAACCTTAGCTGAAACTCAACCTTATGGCAACGTCTACCTGTCCTGATGCTAACCTTAGCGTCAGTGCTACCTCATGCTAACTTTACCCTCACTTTATGCTGACCTTACGCTAACCTCAACCTAATCTTTATTGACTATTTCACCTTTTGCTGATTTGTTTTTTGTCCCTAAAAGAAGGTCGAGTCTCTGTAATGCGTCCCAACAACACAACTAACACACACAGACACACACACACACACTCATCCTTTAGTCTCATTTTACTCTGCTGTGGTGGAAAGGAATCTGCACAAACACACACAGACACACACTCAGCCTGTTACATTAACGCATGCAGCGCAGACAGTGTGTTCTCTCAGCCTGATAACACACAGTAATTATACTGAAACTGTACCTGTGTTGTGTGTCTGTGTGTGTCTGTGTGTGTCTTTGTGCGTGTTGTGTGTCTGTGTGTAGATAAGGGTATAAGAATGGAGACGTCTGAGTCTTTCTTTTGGTCTAAGGTCTCTTCTCTCATTTATCTGATGGACGATTATGTGAAGTCCCATCCCTGTCTTCCCTCAGTGGAGGTGAACAGAGGAACTATTGTTAGGACGGACAGACAGTTTGCAGACGGACGGACGGACAGCTCCATGTCTTTGCGTCTCCAGAACACGCATGTTTGCGTTGCATGACCTGAAGCAGAGCTGTGAGTTTCCTCCCCGAAGCCAAGATTCACCAAAAAGGAAAGTGAGCGTTAAATCAAAATTAAAATTCGCCACAACTGAGAGTCGCGGCGTCTATAAAAGTCTTCACACCCCTTGAAAGTTTTTCCTTTTATTGCGTCGCACGGTCAATTTAATTTGATTTTTTTTAGACAAGAATTCCCCAGTGGGAGTTTTCCACGTCGAAGTGAAAACAGATTTCTACAAAGTGAAGTCAATTAATTAAAACTATAAAATGTAAAGTAAGTGATTGCGTCAGTATTCACTTCCTCTACAGTCGGTGTTTATTAGATGAACCTTCAGCTCCATCATGGTCCTGTTGGTCTCCATCAG